AAGTTAAAGTATTAGCTGCATGACAAATGACAAATGAACAACATGTCACATTAGAAGGATTATATGTATAAGAACGTTTTGAAAAGTAGACAAGGAATTAAAAATTCTATAGAAGCTAAACAAGACGGAAACAAAAAGTGTTACATTAAGAAAAATAGACTATATGTAAATGAAGAAATATACAATCCACATCAACTCAAGGATGCTGGGAGCGCGACTTGAGTGTAACCAAAAGAAATAGTGCCCCTCCTACACCATCTAGATCGTTTGATCGAAGTCAGCGACAAGAATCAGTTTCTACAACAGTACCACCATTAGAAAAATCAAATCAAAATAAATCAAGACAATATGAAACTAAGATTAAACTAAGTGACAAAGTGCATTCGTGCATTATGATTACTACCTATTACTTTTAATTTGGTTTATATACAATGTGTCCAATTAAGTCGGCGCCATATTGAATTTTTTTTATTATTGGTTTTATGAAAAAAAATTATTCTTGATAAAAAGTTCTGCATGGCCTAAAACCCAAAATGAAGTATCAGATTTAAGTTTTTTGCAGTCGTATACGAGGTTTGTCGAAAAATGTAAATTTTGCTCAAGAGTAAAGTACCTTTATTTTCTGCAATACCGACAATCGCTATTAAGAAAAGTTGATCCTAATAGAAAACTACGGTGAGATATCCAATATATCTACCATTAAAAAAAGGATTTTGTAATTTTTACAAACTCTTCTCTGTATTATTGATAAAATTTACGTCTAGAGATTGACATTATATCTAGGACGCTCTGACAAACCAATGAATTTAATACAATACATGTTTTATGATTTGCAAAATTAAATTATAATTTATTTGATTATTTCCTACTGTTAGGGCCCAAAAAAAAAACGAAAATTTTTTTTGGAATATGTTAGTTTATCATCCCCTCAAAAAATCAGCTCTAAAAAAAATTTTTTAGAGGTCGCTCAAGATTTAAAAAAATTTTCAAAATCGTCAAAAATTGAATTTTTTTCTTTAATTTTTTTGGTCTCGTTATTTTATCATTCTCTATGTTGAAAAAAACTCGATTCTGAAAATTTCAAATCGATATTTTAATTTCTAAAGGTCACTAATAATTATTTTAACTTTAAAAACAGTGTACCTAAAATGTTTTCGAGCGACTTCTAAAAATAAATATCAACGAACTAATAATTTTTTTTATTGAATTTGATGAATAAAATAATAGAAATAAATCATGAGACACGTAGACGTAGTAGTAGTAGTATACATTTATGTATCAACTTATGTAAAAAAGATCAAAAAGAAATTGAAAAAATTGACACCCTGGATTATACAGGGTGTTTCTAAAATAGGGTTCCAAACTTTTGCTTTGCAGTATTTAATTAGTAAAAGTGGTGAGTGGAAAATTTAAGTATACAATATTATTGCAACTCATAAAATGCTTTGCAAAATGCAAAGCTCAATTGACAGTTTATCAATAACTTAAATTGTTAAGCTTTGTGGCAACGTCAGTCTTTTATTTGCCATGGTAAACAGATTTTTGTAATTTTTGGCCTAATCACTTAAAGAGCAGAGTAATTTTCAAACTCAATTTACTCGAAAACCATTGGAAATAGCGATTTGGACAAAAATAATATTTTTTACGTAAAATTATTAAGATTTTATAAATCTGTAGAGAAAATTGTAAAAAAATTGAAATAAAAAAAATTACGGGCCGAAGACCCCCCTTCACCAACCCAAATGGGACGCATAAGATTTGCATGTCGAAAAACGGCGACCGTTTTGTCAATAACAGAAAAAAGACAGTTTTGTTTGAGCCCTTTTAAGGGCATATAACTTCCTAAGGGTGCGTTTTAGGGCACATGTTAATAGGAACATTTTGGCTTATTTTAATGAGTTATAAACGCAGCAGTTTGGAACCCTATTTTAGAAACACCCTGTACACATTTCCTTGAGGTAACGACACTGAAGTATCTAAATCTTTCTAAAGACATAGTGATGAGGACCATCAATAAGTCACAAACCGACCTATGTCTGGTTGGTTAAACTTACGTACGATCCTACCTAGCTGTTATACTAGGTGTTGTGTTGTGAGTGAAACAAAATATTTTTTATTACTGAGAAATGTTTATATCCAAATATAAGTATAGAAAATAAGTAAATACAATCATTTGACCAAAACTATTCACTTTTGTATTAAACAAACGATACATTAATATTAGAGCTGGGTGCTGGGTCGCTCGTTCATTTTGGGTGTGTTGGCACGTGCGGCACAACTCATTTAAGTATGCCGTTCAACGCGAGTCGTTCATTTGAACGACACGTGCAAGATGTTGAATGTTGACTATGCCGACAATTGCTCAAGTAAACACTCGTCACTCCTACTCTTTCGAGTTGTAGCTGTGCCTAATGTGCACAACTGGCATGGCGGGAGGTGGCACTTATTCAGAAAATGTTTTAACAAGTAACACACACAATCGTGTTTATTACAAATGACACTATTCTTTACGCCTTCCTTTGCCTTCATATATAAAGATGGCTAATCGATTTTATGTTTTTTTTTTTAGAACTGGGAAAACCACCTAAAAAAAACAACAATTTCTGTCTCTATTATTATTTTCTATATAATTTAACAACTCTTATTTACTACATGTCGTAGCATCATCTGGTACGGGGAAAAGAATTTTTTCCAAAGCAGGGCAAATTGTTACTGCTAAACGAAGTAGTTTACAAGGTGAAAAAGCCTCCCAAATTATATTTTTAAATTATAATTTGTAATAGGCATCTACATAATTTGCAAAATTTTTTTAACTATTGCCTATAACTGCATTTGAGATGATTTTGTTAATTTAATAATTTTTCCGTTTTTTTATACCTACGAGAGATAAACTTTATTCTATTTTTAATATCTTGATAATAATTTATTGCAGCTTTAAACAGTTATATGTCCTATTAAAATATTCTACAGTGTTCTAATAATAAACATTTATTTTTGGTATTTACCTCTGACTCTTGAGCTGGAGTGGAACAATCGAGTATTGCGCGCTCGTCTCTCGGCTCGTTCAATGTTCAGTGCTCGCTCAATGCTGGTATGGACGATTAGCTCCTTCGGTGCGAGTCGTTCGTTCACGGCACAAGATTATGTGCCGGCACATTCGTGCGAGTCGTTCATGAGAGACCCAGCTCTTATATCCAAATATATTCTTAAAATAAGTATATACAATCATTTGACCAAAACTATTCACTTTTGTATTAAACAAATGATGCATTAATATGCAATACAAAACATGTTTCTATAAAATTTATATAGATCATAAAATTAAGAATAGAATTCGATTAACCGTAAGTATCAAATATTTATTTTAAATGCTGCCTATTCTTAAAGTAAGAAATTATATTTCTGGGTAGAAATTTATAGTATTTAAATAAATAAATAATTTTCCTGAAAGAAGAAAATAATTTCTTGCGTTTATATAAACGCGAGATACTTTAATATCAAATGTTGTATATTTGAAGCAAATTTTTTTTGCGTGTTTATGTGAAATTAACCTCTTCCATTTTTATCATAGAATTTATTGTATCCATAATTTATTTTCAGTGGAAATTGTACTTTTGTAATTAAATAAATAAACATCTCAACTATGGAAATTAGTTCTTCGGCACACTGCATAACATAATAAGTTAATGACACCTTGCGAGTTACTAAAAATGAAGCTGACAATGAAGAGAAAGATACAGAGGAAGACAAGAAGAAATACGAAGATCGAAGCGATGACAGTGAAATGGACAGTGAAATATCTTGTTCGCAACTTACACGTTTGCTAAAACACGGAACTGAATTTTGACAAAAAAAATGAAAAATCTTCTATCTGTATTTATGGGAGAGTAAAGGTAGAAGAACCACTATGAGCAACCTCTCCTAATGAAACAGATTATTGAGGCTTTGGATAAGAAAGGTGAATATTATGGTACTTGGAAGATACATTTCCCGAAATCAACAATGCTAAACTGAAGGAGTATTTTCGACGGAGTATATTCGTAAAATGTTGAGAGACCTCCATGGAAAAATTTAACGAATGTAACAAAAAAACTTTTTGGATAATCACAGATCATAATAATAAAACTCTAATCGAGGAAATTGTAGTAGGGAATGTCAGAGAACTTGGATATTTAATGAACTTGCAACTGCATTTTATGGACTCTCATGTGGATTACTTCCTCAATAACTTGGTGAACGACTTCACCATGATTTAAAGGAAATGGAAAAAAAAAATCAAAGTAGGACGCGAATATGATGGTGGACTACTGTTCGATGTTGAAAAAATATTGCAAGGTTGAAGATAAAAATGGGCCCAAGGTCTTTTGAAAGCAAAAGAGTTCGCTGCAAGTGAAAGTAACATATTTTTAAAGAAAAAAACTACTGGACATTTTTACCTTAAATCGCATACCTTCCTGATATATGCTGGTTCTGGTGTCAAATTGATATCAGATTTGTATTCAGTGGGTTTGCTAATATGAGGGCAGGTTTATAAAATCTAGTATATGCATCAGCTTCTCCTACAACGTTACAATCCTACATATTCGCAAATAACTCATTTTTGGGGATTTAGGAGGAGCTTCTCCACAAAGTAGTGGGTGCCAGCGCGACAATAACAGGGACTAATCAAAAGAATAACCAATTTTTTTGTGTACTTGTGTATGTATTTGAATTATAATTAAAAAAATCCGTCGTCATAAATTTCACGTTCGTAACATTCATTACAGCTAAATACACAACGAATGTTTGTCTGTTAAATAATATTTTTACTTATAGTAGAAAACATGATGAAAGGAAAAGGCTTTTAGTTTATTAGGCATCTAAGTTTAATCGTAAAACAAAGACCACCGTAAAACTTGGTAAACAAACCTAAATAGTATTTTACGTTCCTAGCATGTGCAGGTAAATGTTAAATAAAAAATGCTTGTAGTGGGTACTGTTGCTGCGGTGATATATTCGCGATGAAGACCACGGTTGCAGAAGAGAAAAACGTCGAAGACATAAATAATAATGAGGGACAAATCTGGCCACAAGTGTTGGCGATTGTTATAGGTAATAACTTGTGTTTTTTTTTTCATAGTCTAAATTGTAGGAAATTACAAACATAGATTATGTATGTGTATTACTGCATTCATGTTTTGGTGTATATTAGGGCTTTTCAACCTTCTAATAAATATTTATTGGTACAATTCAATGATATTGATAACTGTGAGTGTATTTATAAAATGATGAAAATCTGATTGAATCGGCGTATCAGTTTTAAATTTTTTAAGATTAGTATTCTTTGAAAAATAAAAAATCCTATACCAACGATTTTTTGGACTTTTCATAATTACAGTTTTTAAAATTGTATTTCCAACAAAATTTTCTTATTTTTATTTGGGACACGAATAATCGAGTTATATTTCAAGAGTATAATTATTCTTTCAAAATTAGAAAACTTCAGCTTAATTTTTTTGGCCTTCACACCTGCGGCTAAGAAGATATATCGACAACGTTAAAAACGGATTGGCTTTTTGTGTTTCTTAACTGATATAGCATACTATTGAGCTATAAAGATAGAATCACTTACTATATTTCTAATCATTTAATTTTAGAGGATCGATGTGATTCATCAACCTCGTTACAAACTTTCGCAATGTAAAGTAGTTTTAATTTCATAAAGAAATAGAGATAAAAAAGTTTTTCTTCTTTTCAGCTCCATCCGTGGACTGTACAATAACATGTGTAATTGGTCACGTGTTGAAATTGTAGTCAGATGTATTCAAATCCGGCAGTGTGGCCGAAATTTTGTGTCGTTAGCACCGTTTCCAAACAATACGACCAGTCATAAAATTGCAATGTGATCAAAATAATAACTATATCGATATGAACGCTTGTGTTTCTGGACGCGCTACAAACATCGAGGATAGCGTGTGACGAACTTGCAGACGCCCAGGTGGTCTACGAACTCTAAACGGAATGTTAATTTGCAATTTGAATTATAATTTACAATATTTATAGGCGTCACTGACATTGTTAGGGCGCCTAATTTTGTGACGACCCTTGACTACTAGAAAATTGTCGGTGGCGGTGTTCGGCATCCACGGTGAGTGCCGTTACAGGATCGTACTCCGGATTATATTATTTTTATTCGGTTAGTCTTGGGCGCCAGCTTCCCTATTTTTTACGTGGAGGAAAATCCACGTGAACCTTACCCTCGGTTTAGAGTAAGTACTTGGGTAGCTACAGTGAAGAAAGTTTAATTTCAGGGGTCTGTTATATTTCCTTTATTGTAACAATACACGAAAGTAGTTTTCTTGGTGTAGTGCAAATGTCTTTCTCAAATGAACTGAATTATCAGTGTATATCGCAGAGATAGCAAGACTTTTTACTGATGGGAATTTTATGATGAGTACATCTGGAAATATATTTACTAGATTTATTTTATATTACTAAGGCCTACAAAAATTGAAACAATCAAAAGTAAAATAACTTCTAATTACAATTGTTATAAACAAATAATCTACGGTTTATAGGCTAAATAAACGAGTTAGAGCAATTATTTATTCCCCTTATTTATAATTTTCAAAAAGAAAATATACCTTATTCGGTTTAGTCGGTAGTGCAAATAAATACAAAATTAGGACATAATCAAATATCGGTAAGCAATACACAAAATCGGTCCTGAAAGTAAACACAGTATTAGAAAATAGGTTTGTTACTAATAAACAATCTATTGATCAAAAATCGGTAAGCAATATACAAAATCGGTTTTAATTTCGGTCGCTGCTAGAAACAAAAATGTTTATAACAATTCGGATCTAACAAAGCAACAGAAATTAAGCGGAGTTAATACTGGCCAAGGAGAAAGCGAAGCAATGCAATACACAAATGGCATAAATAGGCAAACGGTAATCAGGAAAAGGAATAGTTTGGTTGATAGGAGGCAAAATCCATTCGAAGTACACGTTCGGTCGCGCGGTCGGTGACGGATTTCTCCTGGAAGCGATGTTATGCACAGCCAACTTCCTGGATCTGTCCGTCGGCATGGCTAGCACTTAACGTCTTCCACTGTCAATGTTACTCATAGCCAACCAGCAGTTTCAGTCAATGTGCCCAACAACGTTCGTTAAAATGCCGTCGCCCCACCACGTATTGTATACGACAGTTTTCTCCTGAAAGCGGTGTTTTGCACAGCCAACTTCCTGGGTCTATCAGTCACGGTACGGCCAGCACCTAACGTCTTCCACTAGCGGTGTTATTCACAGTCAACCAGCGGTTTCAGTTAATGTGCCCTAACTACATTCGTCGCCGCCTGACAACGCCGTCACCGCACCGTCCAGCACTTAGAGTTCAAACTCGGCAGGACTTACACCAATACAGGATAAGTAGAACTAGGAAAATACAATTTGCTTACTTTTCCGGATCGCTGCTCCGGGCGGCTACCTCCTCGGGTTCGGATGGCGATCTTAGGTCTTCGGAGTGGTTTTGGAGCTCTTCTAGTCCTGGTAGCGAACTGTCGATTTTCGCTCAGAAAACAAATGTCGTGGAACTACTTGATTGGCTACCTGATCGGATGGACTTGCCGCTCCGTCTTCGAGCGATGGCGCATGGGGCTGAGCCGCGGCACACCTCGTGACCCTTTGTGGCACTGGCGGTAAACTTTCAGCTTGTAGCATGTTGTCGGATAGAATGATCTGATCTGGCTCCTCCTTTGCCAACGGCGCTAGGAGGTTAGTCGCCCGCTTACCGATAAGGGGGTTTTCAGTTGGCTCGTACACCTCCTCCTTCACTATACCCAAAAGGGCCGGCAGGAGTTGATGGCTCTGAGAGCGTCGTTCTTCCTCCATTGAAGACGATGTACTGTTAATAATATTTAAGATACAGTCTTTAATTGATGTAACAATTACAACTCGCGTCTGTTACAGCGGTAAATGGAAGAAGTGACCCCCCATATTCACGTTTATATCCAAAATAGTCTATTAGAATCATCTCTTGAACACGACTCGATGAAGGTTTCGGTATGTTAACGCTTTGCATTACATACCGTTAATTTATTACTTTTAAAGAAGTTTTTACACGCTATCAATTATTACTAAATGTCACGTCATTGCAAACTTATCGTAAATAGACTTTAGCACCAGTACTTTTCTATTTTTCAAGCCACATTCCCCATAACTAAAAATTATACTACTATCGGAATTTTAATATCACAACTCACAACTGAGATAAAAATGCCGTTTACTAAATCCGTTTTTGTTTTTCAGTGTCCTTGGTTGCATTTACGGTTGGCTTATTTCTCGGTTGGTCCTCGCCATACATATTAAAAATCGCAAATGACAAAAGTACTTATGACATATCCGAAGAAGAAGCCTCATATTTCGCAGTTATACCGCCCATCTCTATGATGCTGTCAAGCATCTTCTTTTCGAATTTAAATGACAAAATTGGAAGGAAAGCTACAATACTTTTAATTAGCGGACCACAAATCATTGGTTGGATTCTTGCTGCTACAGCAACAAATGTTTGGATGTTCTACGCGTCCAGGTTCTTCGCAGGAATAGGAGACGGACTGATGTTCACATCTGTGCCGATGTACATCGGAGAAATATCCACGCCTAAGGTCAGGGGAATGTGGGGGAACGCCTTCTCATTTGCCATTTACTTCGGAGAATTCATAATTAATATGACAGGCAGTTACTGCGACGTGAAACAGAGTTCTTATATATGCGTCTGTTTCCCGGTGATTCATATCATCCTCTTCTATTTTATGCCCGAATCGCCTTATTTTTACATCATGAAGGGGAGATTTCAAGAAGCCAGAGAATCATTGCGTCAATTGCGAAAGAAAGAAGACGTAGAGGAAGACTTTATTTTATTAAAAGCCGATGTGGAGAGACAAATGTCTGAATCCGCACTTGGAAGGATTTATTTACCATTAAGAGAACAGAAAAGCTTTGCTTGCATGCATTTTTCTAAGAACTTCACAACAACTTGGTGGTATATCTGCATTTATTGTATATGCACAATATATTTTTGATAAATCTGGGGGAAACTTGAGCCCAGAAACCTCATCAATGATATTTATGGGTACGATTTGCATCTTAAACCTTGTATTCGCCTACACTTTGGATATGTATGGGAGGAGGTTGTCATATATAGTCTCTTTGGCATTATGTGGTATAGCGTTACTCATAGAATCCATTTATTTCTATGTAGAAGAATTTGAAACTCAGATAGATATAAAATTCCTGAACTGGATCCCAATAACTGGAATGATGGCGTTTGTACTATTTTATTCTATCGGTTTAGGAATTGTCCCTTCATTAATGCTTGGTGAACTGTTTTCTGCAAGTATTAAAGCTAAGGGCTTAAATTTTATAATTGTAATATTTGCCATTCTTATTTCTACAACTACTAAATTATTTCACGTACTAACCACTAATTTTGGCCTGTTTTCTCCGTTCTTACTATTTTCTGTAAATTGTTTCGTGTCAATAATTTTATCTGTTTATTTGATACCGGAAACTAAAGGAAAAACTCTCGAAGAAATTCAGCAATCTTTAAAAGGTCCCAAGAAAACAAATAAAAAGAAAGATATGGAAACTAATCCAAACCCTTAAAGTTATTCTCAGTATTTACGAGAAAAAAATATTATTTATTTTATACGATTATATAATGTTTGGTACAAGATAAATGTGATCATTGTGCAAAGATGTACAAAGTCTAGAATAAATAGACACTATAATGGTAATGTCGTGAATTAAGTTACAACAAATAATTATAAGTAGGTACAAAAGGATACTGTCTATTTGTAAAGAATGCTGTGTAACTATGGTTATACCAGTCAATTGTTGAAACAAATATATTTTGGGACTCACTAGTTTCTTATTAAATCTTGCACCCGCTAAATCAACCAGCAACGATAAAATACAGGGGTAAGTTACGTTAGATCACTATATTTTATGTTCCCCTGCATGCCGCTGCTTTGTGTTTGTTCTTATGTGAAACACCCTGTATATTTTTAAGGCGAACGAATATAACTACGTACTTTTTAACATAAATATATAGCGTTTCCCTGGATTACTGATTGTTCAGGAGAAAGAAGGGAGCGTTAATATGACTCAAAATACTTAAAATATGAAAATAAATGTCTTAGCAGCCTCATTCTGCATAAAAAGTCTTCAAATCCGCTTTGAAATGCAGTAAAATTATATCAAATTTTATTCAACATACGTATAATATGACATGATAATATAAATACGTCGCAAACTTCAAAATATCTCAAAATGTTTCGTAGTTTTTGAGGTACTTTGAAGGTTTTAGAAGCTTGCGACGTATTTATAATGATATTTTGATATAGGTATTGTATGTTGCTATATTTCACAACTGATCTGAAGAATTTTATATGCAGATTTAGCGTTTGTACCTATTGTTTTCTTCATTTTGATTGATTTTAATGTTTCCTGACGTTGTTTTGATATACTTTGCCATGACTTATAGAAGTTCTGGTATTTTTTAATGACTCTAAGCTGATTCGCGAAATTACGATGAAAAATTTTGAAATTTGAAGATCTAATATACAGGTTGTTACAAATTCGCTTCTCACTACAAGGCTCTCGGAAACGGTAAGAGGTACGAAGTAGCTTAAATGGGGGCAAAGTTGCGTAATCAGAGGACCAACATTATGCCTTTCATAGGAACCTTTTTTAGTATTTTTGGTTCTACTTTCACCTCTTCAAACACACTGTATAAGTGATACGTTTTGAAATTATTGTCACTTTAGAAAGGTGTTTTGATGTATTTTTATTCTGGAATGTATTTTTCCTCATTTTCCTCTAACTTATTTATATTTTTTTTTGCGATTTTGTACCAGCTACTGTCAAAAAAAAGAAAAATTGATGATAGTAGTTGCCTGGTATTTGTAATTTGTTTTGTTTAGAGGTGTGTTTATAATTTCATATAAACATCTTACGCTAAAACGATTAGCTTTTACTTAATTGTTTAATTTATAAATTAAGAGTGACTCGTCAAGAATTATTGATAAAATTTTCGTAAAACTGACCTTTAACTTGACGGGAGATACCAATCTGACGAAATGGCAGACCTAGTGACTCTAAAGCTTACGCCATTATTAATGTCACTCGATTATTTCGCGTATTTGCTAATTTCAGCTCAGTCAACGCAGAAAGTACCGTGCGTCTGCTTCCCTTATGTGAGTAAATGTTTTTGCAGTGAGTACTACTAACTACAAATTGTCACTGAGTAGCGATTGTTTTTAAACCATTTTAATATTTGCTTGTTAATTTAAATAGACAATATTTGACTTTCCACTTTACAATTGATATACTAGTAATATCTATCGTAATTAATAGATTACTTCTTATTTTTAATTAACGTTCCAATGTCAGTCAAATGTATATAATGACGAAATTTCTAATAACTCTTAAAATAATCTGCATAAACTTATTTCCATCATTAACAATAATTAATGTCAATAATGAATAATAGGTATAGTATTTAAGTTTTTGTTCCCCATTTGTCAATTTTTCTATCCTTCTGTTAAATCAAAAAGTGTTAAGTTTGACAAAAAAATATATGCTAGTACTTCTGCACAGATGTCACTTTATGATAACAAAAATAATCGCATATAGTCTGTTTAGAAATGAAAGAGAGTAATAAAAGCTTATTATGTTTGCAAATCGTAAATAAATGTAGTACTGGTGCTTATATTCAATATTTTTATATTATGTATTATCGGTATAGGATGAGGTGTACTTTTAAAAAAACTTTGTGCTATCGGACTGTACTAAATTGTAGCAGGTAGCTAAAATTTAATCCCCGACAATCCGTCTTTGTCTATGCCGCTTCAATTTCTCGGTCCATTTCTCTTATAAGTAAACAATATAAAAACAGCATTTCAAAACATGAGGCTACTTTAAGCATCATAACCGGGTTAAGAGGGTTTTTAGTAATTCAAATAAAATTATTCAATATTATTATCAAAATATTTATTTAAATTTAATGAATAGACTTTTATTCCACACAAAAATATATGTATTTTGAAAATTCAAATTATGGTGAGTAAATGTAGTGTTGTATAAATGTACAATAAAGAAAATAAAAAAGTAGGTATATTAAAATTCATCCTCTGAATATTCTGATGAATTATCTTCGTCTCCTAGATTGATAACGATAGGTTCCACAGTAACGTCAATTAAATTATCGAGTTCCCACATTTTCTCCTCTTCTTTTTGTACATGATGTATACATCTTTGCCAGTTATCTGCAGTTACTCGTTCCAAGGAATTTTTTAACAAAATTTTCACGTCACTTAATTTAAACGTCGTATTATTTCGCGCTACATCTCCTTTTACCTGCGCCCAGACTAATTCGATTGGGTTAAGTTCACAGTGATAAGGTGGTAACCGTAGTACCGTTATTTGGCGATTTGTTGCCATTTCATCGATAACATATTTTTTCTGATCTTTATTAAGATTGACAAGTGTCAAAAGTTCCTTTTTCACCATATTTGTTTCAAAAGAAATGTTTTTTCCGGATAACCATTGAATTATATCGGCTTTCCTCCAAGCAGTCGTAGGCGTCCGCTCGGTCTGCCGTGAATGGTAACTGGCATTATCCATGACAATTACAGACCCCGGAGGAATAAGATCCAACATCTGTGTAAAATACTCTTCGAAAACATCTGCGTTCATGTCTTCGTGATAGTCACCTGTATTTTTAGATTCAAATAAAAGTAAACCGCCATCTACAAAACCACTGGCACTACCTATATGTGTCACTATTAATCTTCGCCCTTTACCTGAAGGTGCCTTGAACCCTGTTGAAAGTCCATCCAAAAATGCTTGTCGAAAACTTTTTACATTTTTATCTTGCCATACTTTTGTTACAGTATATCCCTCGTTGACCCAAGTTTCGTCTAGATAATAAATATTCCTCCCTTCGTCACGGAATTTTCTAATTGATCTTAAGTAGGATCTTCGCCAACAAATAATTTCATCTTTATCGATAAGAACTGACTTCCTGTTCTGCTTTTCCCAGCAAAAATTCAACTCTCGTAAGACGGCCCATAATTTGCTTCTACTGATTTTTGGCAAATCGTTGTCCTCTGAAAGTTCACTTAAAATTTTGTTTAGCGTTGGTATTTCTTTTTTAAAATAAAATGAGTGTACTTTTCTGCGAATGACATTTTTGAAGAAATCATCTATAACGACTTTTGATCTCCCTGTAGATGATTTTGGGGGATTTACAGTATCTTGTTCGTTTTTTGTTTCCTTTAAAAGTCTGTAGATAGTCGATTTTCCAATCCCTGTCACTTTTGTCAGCATTAGTGTTACCCGATAATTACCTGAAACGTAATATTACCACGCCCATGGCCGGTTCTTACCTGCGGGTTTTATTACTCTCTTTCATTTCCAAACAGACTATAATGAAAAAATATACCCACACCCTTACGCAAATTTTTACATTTTATTCTCTTACCCAGGGTGTCCCAGAATAACGTGTGTTTTTTTTTTTTTTTTAAACCTGCAACTCCTACAAAATTGATGTAAGGTAATAATATTCGTCCATAGCTTTTTCCTCTTTTGAGCAATAATGACAAATATTTTTCGTTTGATAGGTGATATCATTTGCAAGTTTTTGGGCCTCTTGTAGAATTTTGATTAAATGAGCGGTTTGGGTACAAAAAAATATTTTTTAAATGTATATATTATCTTGCCACCCATATTTCAATAATTAACAAAGTGCTAGTAGGCTCTGATTTTGTAGGTTGACTATAATTGCTGTTTAATCTTATTTGGGATAGCATTATTATTGGCTCTGTTATTCTACCCAACAGACTGAAGAGGGAATTTTATTTAGAATTTTTGCAAAACCCGAGTAATGTGCCCTTATTAATCACAACCCTTATTACTCACAGCTATGTGGTTTATATATGATAGCGCTCCACCATTTTTCACTACAACTGTGCAGCAGTATATGAATCAAAGATTCCCTCGTCGATGGATCGGTAGAGGGGATAATGCTCCTGTTAACTCGTCTGTACGTTTACCAGACTTAACACCTTGCGACGGCGTGGCGGTAGCCGAAGCGGCCAAGGCTTGCCTACTGAGGCGAACCAGGGCTGTGCGGCAAAACCGTAGTGGGTTCGAATCCCGCACGCGGCAGGAAAATTCGAAGGAATTTTTCTGTCGTACCCATGGATGTTTGTGATTGTTAAGGTGGAGGGTAGTATGTAAGTTAGCAGGCAAAATGGGCCAAGCATGGCCTAATTGCTAGTAAGCTTCATAACCTTTACCTTTAACACCTTGCGACTATTATCTTTGGGACACTCTGAAACACTATGAACTGAGTTGTGGAGGCATATCCAAAATGCCATAAATGTTTTAAGAAATAGCCCTTAAGAACTGCAAAGGGTGTCCTTTAACTTTCTTCGCCGAATTAACCTTTGTTGTAGAAACAACGGTTAACATTTTTATAACCAAGTTGTACTAAATTTAATAACCTAAACTTTGTTACTTTTATCTCCAGCATTTTTTATTGTATTTGATTGTTTTTACGAATTATTTCAATAAAATTAGGCACGTTGTAAATAACTAATTCGTCGTATGTGTGTATCCATTTCGAAAAATGAACATGTGGTATATCTCATCGTAGTAAACACTCATTAAGAATTGGCAAATCAAACTGTGAAATTACATACAGTCAACCTACAAAATCAGCGACTACTAGCACTTTGTTAAGTATTGTATATGGGTGGCGAGATAATGTAGACATTTAACAAATATTTTTTTTTACCCAAACCGCTCATTTAATCAAAATTCTGTAAGAGACCCAAAAAGATCCAAATGGTATCTCCTATCATATAAAAAATAATTGTCATTATTGTTCGAAAGAGGAAAAAATTATGAACGGATATTATCACCACACGTCAATTTTGTAGTGAGTTTTAAAAAACACTGTGTATAACACTAAAATGTGTAGATTGAAAGCAAAAGTCCACACAAAATAATCAAAATCGATTAATACGTATTCGAGTTATTTATTAGTTATTAGGATATAGGTGAATTAGCCTAAATCTGTCCATTTTGAGTCCACGAATCTGTGGTCTTCCATTGTGCAAGTTATTCTGGGACACCCTGTATTTTCCCTTAGTATTTGTAATATTTTTTGTGTGGATAATAATTAATTATTTGATTAATCATGACATTCAACAATCATCAACGCATTTTCCATTTAAATCTAATTTAACTGTCATCAAAAATTGTACTTATTTTATAAGAAAAATGAATACAATACGTTGTAGTATTCAGAGGTTTGTAATTGAATGTTGTCAATAGAAAAATTTAAATTGTGACGTAAATGGCACGATAAATAACTATTTAATTGCTTTAATTGTTGTCGCTGGCTAAAGTTTAAGCAATGATTCTGCTGTACCTAATTCCTCTTAATTCATATCACAGGCACACAAAAACAAAGAACTCTGCTCTTTACATCGCACCCTGTTATTGTGTTCATGTATGTTATTGTTGCCATATTTTTGGACACGCTGAACACGAATTTGAGGTTAATTTGGTGTGGAACGTTTTCGAAAAAAGTGTCTCAATTCCTCAAAAACTGTTATATACCGGGTGTTTCAGAGTTGAAGTGACAAAAGCCTAGGGGAGGGGCCCGCAAGTGCTAGTTTCTGATCTGTAGGGTGTTAATTTAAAAAAAATGAGTTAAAAAGACGCTTTAGCCGATTTGAATGAAAAAAAAAAGAGTTTAAAAAAGCCCTTTGTTTTATCTTTTTCCACCCTTGGCCGGGGGTTGAACAAAAAATTACTCTCACTTATTGTTATAATATACCTTAAACTAACTCATATCAAAAATTCAGCCAAGTTGACACAATTTCGATTTAAAGGCTTAGTTAATTGGACTATAGATCCAGATTTTCAGGGGCGTATCCAGCGAGCAAATCGTTTTTTTTTTTGTAGAAACCCTGTAGTTTTTTGTGGTTTTTATGTAATATTCACTAAATTTTTAGTGTAAGTTTTATCTGAATGGGGATTATTTCCTCAATCAGGTATGTTCTGGTGCTAGTATCAAATGAGATTCGTATCCAGATAGGGTTATCAAATCTAGTATACGGATCAGCTTCTTCCACGTTGCATCGTTAGAATCGTTAAGCGTATTTGCGGATAATAAAGTCTGATCAAAAGAACAGACCAATGTGCCTGCATATTTATTTATACAGTGCAATAGTGCCTCATATCATTGTGACAGTTACAAATACCATAACTTTACATTACCATGATGTTGTGTTTAAATGAGAAACAAAAAACTGAAATCCTAATTATGGTTGGATACGGAGATAGGGTACGTAGGTATGATGAAGTATGTCAATTATTCAATGCCAAGTATCCAGAACAACCAATACCTGCGTCTACAGTATGCAGATTAGTACGCAAATTTGAAGACGCTGGCCATGTTAGAGATATGTCTAGATCTGGAAGGACAACGACAGTGATAGAAAATGATAGGCAAAATGTTATGTTTAGCTGTCACTGAAAATCCACACATTGCCATTCGTCGTATCGCCGAAAACGCCAACATATCAATACATAAAAACGTACCTACAATCAACCAAAACACAAAACATCCCCAATTTCCATTTTTTTACTGTGGCACTGTTCTCGCATCAGTTTGTGATACCTACTTTTGTTGTTATTTTAAACCATGTCCATTCCAGTCATTGGCTTTTTTTTCGCTCCTGTCAAAGTAAAGTAGGACAAACCCTATATCGACGTATTTCCCTTCAAAAGGGTTATCCATTTATGCTTAAAAAATTTGGTAGTGCTATTTAAAAAAAAATGTCGATGACGTCATAGGTTTATGAAACAAAGCGCAAAAAAGGATTAAGCAACGTGACAAAATGACAGTTCCTATTTACTAATTGACGTGTTTTAGCGTTTTTGTGAAAACGGAACACAAAATAAAATACGAATTTTTTGCGTTACTTCTGGGACACACTGTATAAAATTAAAAACTTATTTATCTGTTTTCACAAATATTAACACATTATTGAAAGTTGCATCATGTCACAATTTATCTACGAGTATATTATTCCAAAATCTCTATATCACAAATGCGAACTATTTAAAGACCCCAATTAAATACCTTTACGATGTTCATTACACTTTAAATACACAATGAATGTTTGTCTTTCAAATAATATTATTTTTAATGTACAGTCGAAAACACAGTCAAAGCAAGGAAGCCTATCTAATCGTAGTCGTGAAACAAAGACCCCCATAAGACTTGGTAAACATACGCTGATAATATTTTAGGTTCCCTATAGGTACAAGTAAATGTTAAATAAAAAATGTTTGTAGTGGATGCTTTTGCTGAGATGATATATACATAATGAAGACCACGGTTGTAGACAAGAAAAACGTCGAAGACTTACAGAATGATGGACAAATCTGGCCACAAGTGTTAGCGATCGTAGTAGGTAAGGAACTGCAATGTTTTTCTTTATCTAAATTGTAGGAAATATGTAAAACCTAGGTTATGTTCATGTTTTTACACTTGTTATTTGTGGAAAATGTGACAAAGTAATTTCAAGAACATGATAGAGAATCTGCTGCTTTTTTCCATAAATAACAAACAAATTAAAATAATTCTCATAAGTATAATTTAAACGATCCCCAGGCATTTTTATTTAAATTTTCAGCAAAAACTGTTACAGACACAACAATAATGACAACTAACTTGACAAATGTCAATTTATTTATCCATGGCCAATTTGATAACAGGTCTGATAGGAGAAAAACTGTCCAAAAAATAGAAAATTGCAAATATCTCTAAAAGTAGTAGAGGCAACCCTAACAATGCTTATATGGCTTGAAAGGAAACTTCAATCTGAATACGACAGAGTAAAATAATATAGGGTGTTCCATTTAAGTTAACAAAGTAATAGCTGTTTGAAGTTATCAAAATGTAACAGCAACAATAAAACACCTAGTATTAAATGTTTTAATTTGTTAGTATACCAAAATGTAGTGTTACCTATGCCCTTTACAGGTTCCAAAAATCCACTTGATATCACGCTCCTGAAAAGAGTTACTAGCATCTCCGCGAACCCTTGCATCTGTTTTTTTCTTTAAAAATTAATATTTCAATATCTATAACTCCTAAGTATAGGGAATATTTAATTCCTCAAATTTCACGTAGAATACAAAAATGTAATAATATATAGGGTGTCCCATTTAAAAGCGCTGGAGAGTTCTAGAAATTTTAGTTGTGTTCACCCCACTATATTGCCAAATTCTTAAATTTTAAATTTTTCGGAGCAGTACTTTCCTAGATTTCCGGCAATTAAATTTGATTAAATAGAACTATAATTACAACTTCTTCATCTTAATTTGATCCAAGGAGTGGGTGGTGAGCCGATATCCCAACCTTTCTACAACACCCTGTAGTTTTTCATTCCCCGCCCTTTAATTTTAAAAAAGTGGTACGTACTTTAGTGGCATTTAAAAAAAAAACGAGTTCCACTTCTACATGATAAATTTTGACAACTCGATCGAAGACCTACAATCGACTAATAACCCTGAGTCGCACAGAGAATAATAGAAGTATAAAATTCAGTACCAAAAACGGGACTGTAGAGTATAAGCTCAATAATCTTTTAGTATTGTGTACAAGTGGATTAGGTAGAATAAACAGATTCTGATAACTAAACCATAAAGTCAGTATCTCGGTAAATCAAAGCATAATATTTAATTACACAGTCACACAAAAAAAGAAAATTTGTCTGTACTTTTCAAGCGACATATGTTATCTGTGGTATTTTTCCCTCCTGATCACGAATCCGGTGTCAGAATTGAGCTATCACATCACAGGAATTTCCTAACCTCAAAAAACAGGTAAAAAATAGCAAAAATTCATGAAAGTGATAGGAAAAATACAATTTTTTTTTTCTATATTCAAATGTTTACTTATATAGTTAAGACCCCGCCAAACGTGAATTAGCGGTCAGAATCGATGGTTCTTTTTCTAATCTCAAAAAAACCCCCGGATACTAAATTTGGCGCGAATTTGTTATTTTTTTAAAATTCGTGATATCTGACCTTAATTGACCCGTTTTTTTGAGGTTAGAAAAAGAACCATTAATTCTGACCACGGATTCACGTTGGGCGGGGACTTAACTATATAAATGAACATTTGAATATAGAAAAAAAAAATTGTATTTTTCGTAGCACTTTTTCATGAATTTTTCTATTTTTACCAGTTTTTTGAGGTTAGGAAATTCCTGTGATGTGATGGCTCAATTCTGACATCGGATTCGTGATCAGGAGGCAAAAATACTACAGATAACATATGTCGCATGAAAAGTACAGACAACTTTTCTTTTTTTTATGTGGCTGTGTTATTTCTATACACATTCCGATAATCAGAGGATTCCAGAACTATTTAAATTTAGCAGGTTAATATTCGTAGTTACAACTATCTGCTATATCTGCTTCTAAGAGAAATATTTAAATGTACCAATATATTTATAATTAAAAGATTTTTTACTTGAAAATGTAGAATATAACAGGGATATTATGGTACTTAAACTATACAAAACGATTTCTTTCTTCAAAATTAACACAAGATAAACAAGGAAAAAAACTAGACAAATGCCTGTTGAAGCCAAACAATAATGGTAATTCTACGTCATAAATCATTAAAAATAGTTCATATACACGTGTACACAAAGTTGAAATTTAAATAAATATATCACATTTATTTAAATATCCCTTAAGTTCCTTTACGAAACTTGGGATAGTGATTTAAGTAATTATGTGCAAAAATTTGTTAAGTTGCTTTACAAATCGGCCAACCAGTGGCGGAGATACTGGAAAATACCGTCACTAAAAACCTAGACTTTCAGTGCCACTGAATCTGAATATATTCCCATCTTTTTTATCTGAAAAACGAGCTAATTTTTAAACTTCAAAATAATGCTATTAAAAAGTTGGATAAATAAAAAATAACTGAAAAACTATTCGTCACTAAAAATATATAATTTTTTTTATTAGAAATGCAATACAGGATGTCCCACGGTGACGAGACATTAGGTATATTTCAGAGACTACTTCGATTTTAATTTTGAAAATTTGGGCAATAGTGTTTTCGGGCCTGCCTTTCTCAACTAAAATAATGACGTCCAGCTAACGCTTCCGGTTATACAGAAAGTTGACGTCATCTTCGTTATTTTATATTAAACACACTGTATATTATTGCAATTTTGGATTCTATGTCAATTTTTAAGTGAACTTTCATAAAGGTTTCCTATTCTTAAAGTTAACCATTTTTGATATATTTAATTTTTTTCAAAAAAAAAGCACTGTCTAATTAAAAAAAAATTTGTATTTTACAATAATAAAGTTTGAGCGATAAAATTTATAGGGGACATAACTAAAACTCTAAGCTTCGCTACCATAATCTCAAAATGACTTAATTTCATACAGGGTGGTATAAATTTAATGCCGAATTTAGTCAACTTTAAACCATCTTAACTTATTCTTTTTAAATGGAACACCATGTATATTTTTACGCAAGCTGATAAACAATTTTTTTCTCTTTGGACCTATCTATACTATACCTATCTCTTCTGGTTTTTAAAATATTTACTGTTTTTCGTATAGTCAACGGACATCGCATAATTTCTTGTGAGGATGTCTGTGATTTTTTTAGTGAAACGTCAAAACAAGAACCTAATCTGTCACCAGTTTATTGTTGTCAATTTAACACATACAGTGAATGTTTATTTGAGTATTATTTACTGTTAAAGAATGGAAAACATTTATTCAAATGCTGACATCCTAAATTTATTATTTATACATAGATAGTGTCACAAGATAATAAATACAACTTGCAGAGTATCTAATGAGAGATACATTAATTTACCACATCTTTCGAAGAATTTTAAGAAATGGTCGAATTTCTGCACATAGAATTTTGTCAAAGCCAACACCATTCGAAAGAGAACAAAATTGTTTAACAGGTTGCACAAAAATATACAGGGAGTTCCATTTAAGAAAATAATTTAAGATGGTTTAAAGTTGACTAAATTTGGCATTAATTTCTACCCTGTATGAAATTAAGTCATTTTGAAATTATGGCAGGGAAGCTTAAAGTTTTAGTTATGTCGAAATCGAAGTAGTATCTGAAATATGTCTAATGTCTCGTCACCGTGGGACAGCCTGTATAATATCTGAAGTCAAAATCATTAGCAATTAATTATTCATAATTATTATACTATTATCTAAATTTTAATGTTGTCATTTACAAATTCTGTTTTTGTTTTTCAGTATGTTTCGTTCCATTTACGTGTGGCTTATTATTCAGTTGGTCCTCGCCATTCCTATTAAAAATCACAAATGACAAAAACACTTACGACATATCCGAAGAAGAAGGCTCATATTTCACAGTTATACCGCCCATTTCGATGATCCTGGCAAGCATCTTTTGTTCAAATTTAAATGACAAAATTGGAAGGAAACCCACAATACTCTTAATTAGTGTACCACACGTTATTGCCTGGATTCTCACCGCTACAGCAACAAATGTTTGGATGTTCTACGCGTCCAGATTCTTCGCGGGAATAGCAGACGGACTGATGTTCGCTTCTGTGCCGATGTACATCGGAGAAATATCCACGCCTAAGGTCAGGGGAGTGTGGGGGAACGCCTTAACCTTTGCCATTTACCTGGGCCAGTTCATAATCACCGTGACTGGTAGTTACTGCGACGTGAAACGGACATCTTATATATGCATCTGCTTTCCATTGATTCATTTCATCCTCTTCTATTTTATGCCGGAATCGCCTTATTTTTACATCATGAAGGGGAGATTTCAAGAAGCCAGGGAAACATTGACACGATTGAGAAAGAAACATGACGTCGAGGAAGACTTTCTTTTATTGAAAGCCGACGTGCAGAGGCAAATGTCGGAATCTGGTACTTGGAAGGATTTATTTACCATCGATAGCAACAGGAAAGCTTTGTTTGCTGGAATTTTTCTAAGAGCATCACAACAGCTCGGTGGTATATCCACATTTGCTGTGTATACACAATACATTTTTGAAAAATCTGGAGGAAACTTAGATCCACAAGTCTCATCTATGATATTTGTTGGTGCGACTTGTCTCTTGAACCTTGTAGGTGCCTACACTTTGGACTTGTTTGGCAGAAGACTGTCGTATATAGTTTCTTTGGTATCTTGTGGTGTAGTATTACTTATTGAATCTATTTATTTCTATATAGATCAATTTGAAACTCAGATAGATATAAAGTTCCTGAACTGGATCCCAATAACTGGAATGATGGCTTTTGTACTATTTTTTTCTATCGGTTTAGGAATTGTTCCCACATTGATGCTTGGTGAATTGTTTTCTGCAAGTATTAAAGCCAAAGGCTTAAGTGTTTTGATTGTGGTATTTGGGATTTTTGTTTCCACAATTACCAAACTATTTCACTTACTCACTACCAATTTTGGTCTGTTTTCGCCGTTCCTACTATTTTCTATAAATTGTTTTCTGTCAACAATTTTAGCAATATATTTGATACCGGAAACTAAAGGAAAAACTCTCGAACAAATTCAACAATCTCTAAAAGGTTCCAAGAAAACAAATGAAAAGATTAGAGTGGAAACTAATCCAAACCCTTAAAGTTAATACCAATTTATAGTTTCTTGAAATCAAACATTAAATGCAAACTATACAGGTTCCATCTGCCGTTACGTGAGAGCGATAAAGTAAGACATAGAAATCCATGCGATAGAGAAGGATGGCTATAATGAAGGCGTCTCATAGTCACCGCCCGTTTCGCCCTTCCACAAATAAGATCCACTCCTTATTTCTTAAGGGCGAAATGGACGGTGACTATTAGACGCCTTCATTATAGCCATCTTTCTCTATCGCACGGATTTCTATGACTTACTTTATCGCTCTCACATAACGGCAGATGAACCATCGGTACTTCCGACCCTGTATACTTAAGGTTTACAAGAAAAAAAATACTGCTTATTTTGAATGACTATTACAAGATAAAAGTGATCTTTTTACAAGCTTTTATTTAACTTGCCTTACTAGTATGGGTCAGATCTTGGAACTGAATTTTAAAACAGTTATCCCCAACACGTTTAGTTTGGATGACAATGCATGGTTAGCTAAGTGACGTCATTCTAAATCCAATATGACGAACTCCCAAAGATGTCGGGTCAGTTATTTTTTATGGACTCCCATGATATCAAGTGAAAGCGCTTGCTGAAAAGAATACGAAAATAAAATGACGTCACTAAAAGCTTGTTTTTTTAATTTTTTTTTGTACATGAACTTATTTTAGTATACTAGACGTACTTAGGTTTTTATAACGACTATAAGACTGATTGCTTATAACAATAAAGTTGTTGGCATTCAGAATTGTGTACCGTAAAAATATACAGAGAGAACCAGAATGATTGATGGTGCTGCTATTTACAAATAGTTTGTGTGCCGCTTTCCTATTATTTTCACTCTTCATAGTTGCCAACACAGTGATTTACTTCGTTCAGTGGTGGGTTAAGTATGCTGAGCAAAAATGTTATAATCTGCGGCTTCATGATTTAGAAACTCTTCCTGGAATTAGAAAAAACGTTAATGGATTGAATAATTCCATACATTTTCATTTCGTTGACCACTCCAAAAGTAGGCCTCTGCAATAAATTTATCGTCGTCTAACGAACAGACGATTTTTTAACCTAAAACAGTTGGAGTACTTTATATCGAAGAAACTGTCAATATTTGCTTCCTAACCACAAAACTAACAGTGGACATATGATTAGCGTTGAAAAACGCTGATTATTTAGAATATTAACGGTAACTTCGAATAAAAACACAATCTGCGAACAAAAATAAATACAACAGCAAGTACACACGGGAGGCACGAGGATCTCTGAATTGACAGACTTGTCGGTCGGAAATTTAAAGAACACGGAACGTAATTTTGTTGAAATGGAAGTAAATTTTAATATCTTTGGTAATATTTCCATGTGACGTCAGCTTCAATCATTCTGGATCGCTCGGTATAAAGTCTGAAGAAAGTAGACACTATAATAGTAACGACGTTTAAGTTACAACAAATAATTATAACTATAAACGTAAACTGTCTATTTGTAAAGAATGCTGCGATATTGTGATTATTCCATCAATTATAGAAGCAAATATATTTTTGAAGTCGATGGTTTCTTAATAATTCCTCTCCCGCTAAATAAGTTTGTAATAATATTATGTCGTGATAAAATATATTTTTAGGGCAAACGAATATAATTAGCTACACATCTTTTCGATCAAACTACTTTGCGCAAACTTCAAAATATCTCAGAAAGTTTAGTAGTTTTTGAGATATTTTGAAGTTTTTAGACGTTTGCGACGTATTTGTAATTATACTTAGGTATCTTGAATGTGATTCGATCGATGTTATTGCATTTTGCAACCAAACTTAGTCTCCAAGTTCCTACCTTTTAAACAATTGACAGTTCATAATGTGGAAAGTTTCAGGGGTTCAAGGGTGGACTTTTCTCAGTCAGAATAGACCTTAATTTTTTCTATCACTTGTTAGTCGCCAGGTGCTTTCATGTAGATAAGATAAATCAAGTCGTCCAGTTAAATTTAAAACGTATGATAAAAAAATAGATAGTTAAAATTTAATACATCTTTAAAGAATTAATACTTACTGCTACAATTGCAGTTTTTATACAAAAAAGAACACTAAAAATAAATTTGAACATAAGCTTAACGTAAAATTTTGGATTAGCAGAAGAGTATAATAATTATTAATGATATATTTATTACTTAATCAAATTTACTAGTGAGGATAACAATAAGATGGAACACGTGATCTGGTTAATAAAATAATTTTCCTGACCCACAAGAGTCACCTCACCAAAAATTCCTACTGGGTATATACAGTGGTCCGTCATTCCTAGTGCGTTCTGGAGAGTAGACAGTGGCATTGGTAGGATGTCACTGGAACCCCAACTGTCAGTGGTAACGGACAGCTCTTTCTGCTGATGGAACTGCAATGGGACCAGCAATGGTGCTTGTTGTGTTGACACTGGAGGAAGTCAGCGAACTTACACGATGACAATTCTCAGCGTGAGTCTTCCTCGTAGTCTTGTCTCGTTGGCCAGATCACAATGAAAAAAGTTAGAGAGCGTGACTAGATTCCAGAATGTTCTATAAAAAAATGCACTTCCTACTCTCACACGTAGTCTAAAACTGAATACTTTTCTACTAGTTTTTCCTTTTCGTTTTTTCTATTGTTGTTGTAATGATGTTAATCAAATTAGGCAACCATTTTAACAAAGAGAATCAAAGAGTGCGGTTGAATCTAATGGATATACAATTGAAGATTAAAGAATTACCTACACCATTGTTGGTTGAAAATGGAACCAACAGTTGGTTCGTTACAATTTGAAGAATTTTGTATGCATTGTTTTGATTCATTTTAATGCTTTTTGACGTTGTTTTGATACACTTTGCCTTGATTGCTGTGGTTATCAGGTAATGTCTTAATTAAAAAATTAAAAAATTATAAATATTTGATACTCACAGTGCGGTAGTAGATAAATTTTGCCTCGAGAAATTTTTTAAGTGTATCGTGATTTATTTCTATTCTTTTGTTCATCAAATTCAATAAAAAAAATTATTAGTTCGTTGATATTTATTTTTAGAGGTCGCTCGAAAGCATAGGTACACTACTTTGAAAGTTAAAATAATTATGAGTGACCTTTAGAAATTAAAATATCGATTTGAAATTTTCAGAATCGAGATATTTTTCAACCTAGAAAATGATAAAATAACGAGAAAAAAATTTTTTTTCAAAATTCAATTTTTGACGATTTTGGAAATTTTTAAAAATCTTGACAGGCCTCTAAAAAATTTTTTTTGAGCTGATTGTTTGAGGGGGCTCTTAAAACATGATAATCTAACATATTTTCACAAGAGACACGAAAAAAAAGTATTATTTTTTTTTGGGCTGCCGTAATACATAGGTAAGTATATAAAATTTTGGTAAAACTGACTTTGAGCTTTAACTTGAGGGAGATACCATTGGCAGACCTGGTGACTCTCACGCTATTATAATGTCATTCTATTATTCGGTGTATTTGCTAATTTTAGTTCAGTCAACATAGAAAGTACGTCGTGTTTGCTTCATTTATGTAAGTACATGTGTTTGCAGTGAGTACTACTGTCTGCAAATTATCACCAAATAACGATTGTTTTTAACCCCTTTTAATATTTGCTTGTTAATTTGAACAGACAATATTTGACTTTCCACTTTATAATAACTGATGAGACTAGTCTACTGTAATTTATAGATGACTTTCATTTAAAACTTCGTATTTTTAATTGACAAAGTACATCCCAATGTCAGTTAAATATATAACGATACAATTTATAATAACTCATAAAATAATCTGCATAAACTTATTTACATAATTAATAATCAAGGTCAATAATTAATATTGGGTATCCAAGATTTTATTCCTCACATCAATTTTTCGGGCACATATATTTTGTGTGTATCCATTTGTTAAATCAAAAAAGTGTTTCAGACTTTTCGTTCAGCCTGTAGAAAGTATGAAATTTGGTAAAAAAAACACTGGTTGACTTAAATGATATTTTATATGCTAATACTTGTGAACAGATGTTACTATAAATGTTAGCAGAAATAATTGCATACATAGGATGTCCCAGAATATATGGGCAATCTCTTGGATTTATACAAGGGACGTTATAATAACGTGACAATTCTCGGTACAAATTTTTTCTAGAGAGACCCCCCTACGGAGATACAGACTTTTTAAAGTCTCTTTTTTAGCTGAAAATCGATTTTTTTTAAAATAACTTTTAAAATGTTTTCTGTAATTTAATTATTTTTTAATACGATGGACAACAGATAAGACCTCTTAAAAATTTACCTATGAAAACAATTTAGCTTATTTAGTATGCCTGGGATGGACTAGCTGTAGCACAATGTCATTTTTTACACCCTTTACGACACAGGTACCAAAAAAAATATTTTTAGATAGTTTAAACTTTAAACTAAAAAAGGCACTCTTGATTAATATCGATAAAATAAACTGTCTTCAAAATAATTATTTTTGTTTAATATAATTTTTACTACATCCGTAAAGAGAAATAAATCGATGAAATTTGCATTCTTTCTGTGCATATCTAAAAAAAATGCTACTTTTATTTGCACGTATATTCTGTATAGAAATGGAAAATTACACCCGCACCCTTAAGCAAATTTTTCATTTTTTTCTCTATCCATTTGAATCTAATTTAACCGTCATTAAAAATTGTATTTATTTTATAAGAAATATGAATAAAATACATTGTAATGTTCAGAAATTTGTATTGGAATATTCTTTCAAGAGAAAAATTATTATTATCCATATGGTTTTGGGGTCGCTGAATCCGAATCCGGTGGCCGTTTGACGCGATTAGCGCTGGTTTAAGGTCAGTTCAAAGTCAAATGCAGAAAATCAATTGTCAACAAACTAAACTTGCGTGTCTATACGTTTTTGGAGTCGCCGAATCCGAATCCCGTGTTCGTTTGACTCGATCAGATCTGGTTTAAATTCTGTTCAAGGTCAAATGTAAAGCCATTGATGTTGTTCGTATTTGATCCTATGTAAGACTATCCTCAAAATATGGCACTCTTGTTTCAATGTGCGTTAGGTTTATAACATCCATCCTCAAAAAATTATTTATATGCGAATATTTTTCTCTGAATCTGTTTCGTATAATGAACATTGAAGGCTAAGGGATATGAAATCAATAACAAATCAATCATGAAAGCAATGAGCTCTTCAAAATGCAATGCAGTTCATACTATGAAAATTAATTTCAACTACTGAAAATAAAGCTAAAAACGAAGAGGAAGGCGAGAAGAAATACAAAGAGCAAAACGATGATAGTAAAATGGCCAATGAAATATCTTGTCCGCAACTTACCTTCTTTATATCATAGTGAGAACTATTTAAAGGCCCCTATTACTTACCTTTACAATGTTAATTACAACGAATATTTGTTTTTTCAATATCATTATAGCCTATAGTTTATTATGTGTCTAATCTTGATCGTGAAACAAAGACCACCGTAAATCTTAGTAAACATACGCGAATAGCATATTAAATTCCCAGCGGGTGCAGGTAGATGTTATATCAAAAATGTTTGTAGTTGCTGCGGTGATACATGAACGATGAAGACCACGGTTGCAGAAAAGAAAAACGTCGAAGACATAAAGAGTGATGGACAAATCTGGCCACAAGTGTTAGCGATCGTAGTAGGTAAGGAAGTGCAATTTTTTTCTTAATCTGAATTATATGCAAACATAGACCACCATGTGCACCACTATATTCATGTTTTTGCACTTTCTTGTTTAAAAGTGTGATTTTATAACTTTCGTAGAGGAAACCGTTTTAGTGTCTATAAGCGGCTAAATTTACTTTTCAACACTCTTACCAAAAACATATAAACATTTATTAGTATTGATGACATTGATAACTGTATCATAAAATCAGAATCTACATTTGATGCTTAAATAAATACGTTGACAAATTTTGTAAGTGCCGATTCTTTGCATGATTTTAGGTTAGGTTAGTCCATGGAATAATCTATACTTAAGTTATATATTTTGTGTTGAACATTGTGTGTGACAGATAAACAGGCGAATATTGGCTATAAAATGTGTATTGCTAACACAGACGTATAGTGGCTATAAATGATATTTTTATTAAATTATTGTATAATTTAGTATACAACTTTGTTTTTACTCGGTATGAAATCATAGATATAGCTGTTATTAAAGAGTTATTATACATCTGGTGGTGATTATAAGTTTTATGCTATTTTTTGAACAAACAAGTTCCACATAGTAAATTTTACCACTAGATCGAACGTCTACAACAATTGCTTAGAGAGTAGGTACTAAAGTATAAAATAATATTCAGTACCGAAAATATAACTGTAGAGTTATGAGCTTAAAATTTTTTTTAGTATTGTGTATAAGTGGATTAGGTAGAATAAACATATATTAAACCATAAAATCAGTATCTCGGTAAATCAAATATGTAATAATTATTTCTATACACATTCCCATAATCATAGGATTCCAGGACTATTTAAATTTAGCAGATTTCATTATTTATACTTGTTTCTAAGAGAAATTTTTAAATGTACCAACGTAGTTGTGATTAAAAGTATTATTAGGTAATTGAAAATGTAAGGAATAACAGCTATATTAGGATAATAATTGAACTATGAAAAACAATTTCTTTTTTGGAAATTAACAAAAAATAAATCAATTTTATATTAGGGGCACTTAAAACGTTAATGTCGAAGAAAATTGCAGTAATTCTCCTGATTCACACTTAAAAAGCAATGTGATTAAAATGTTAAATAAAATAGGAAGGCTGCGCTACAACCACTGAGGGTAACCAATAACGACTAACAGAAGTAGAGGAAATCGAATTATTTTGATGGATAGCATTATTTTATTTTCAAATGTATTAAGAACTCTATATTGGGTTAATATATAAATATTAAAACATTGTAAACCTATTCAAAACTTAATTAAACTCCTCTAAACAAAAGAAAATCTTAATTGCGTATTTGTGGTTGCATATCCTACCGCTAAAAGTTTCATAATTTTCAAATCATTCTCCATAATTATTTAAAAAATAAACTATTATTACAGTACGCGCCTAAAGTATGGAATAAATTCAGTAAAAATTAAACAAATTTTTTTGGGAAAAATCCTCGAACAGGTCGATTTTTAATTTAAGAAATACATATTTTAGCATAAAAGGCGATTTTCAACCGTCATTTCTTTTCGAGTAATAACGTCTTCGATTTTTTTTTAAATAGCAACCCCCTATTTTTTTTCTTTATTCTGAAAGATCGTTTCATTGTCGATGCGACAGTATTAAAATGTTGTCATTTTTCATAGGAAAGTTTTCGAGTAAATGATGATTGAATGTTAGAAAACCCAAATCAATTAAAATAAAGCAAAAACGTTATCAAATTTAGTTTTTCGAAATGCCTGAAGTTTTTTATGGATCACGTAGGTGTAAATTTTTACAAAGTGTCACTGTCGTACCGACTTTCTAAGTATTGTAAGCGATATAAAGATTATTGTTGAATTTAAAGTAAAAGTAAAGTTTCTTATCGGATGCTGGAATAAGACTAGAACGCAGCAGGAAGTTTGCGATTTATTTAATGAAAAACATCCAGATCGACGTATCAGCCAATCAACAGTCAATAAGATAGAATCTAAATTTAGAGAAACTGGCAATGTTGTAGATATTCCAAAACCTGGACGTCCAAGCGTTAGTGAAGATCACAAACAGAACATTTTTATAAGTATGGTAGATAATTCTCATAATACTTCACGATTGGTTGCATTAAACAATGAAATTAGTCACACCACAGTGCTACGTATCCTGAGGAAGGAAAAATATCATCCTTACAAAATTCAACTTGTGCAGGAACTCAATGAAGACGATCCCGACCGCCGGCGCCGCTTACACTTTTGTGAAATTATGATGGATTTATGTCAAGTAAATAGAGATTTACACCGGCAAATACTTTTTTCAGACGAGGCCACATTTTGTCTCGATGGTACAGTGAACCGTCAAACTTGCAGGTATTGGAGTCGGGAAAATCTTCATTGGATGGCAGAAACACATACCCAATACCCACAGAAATTAAATGTGTGGGCTGGAATAGTTGACAACAGAATAGTAGGGCCTCTCTTCTTTGAAGGAACCCTTACAGGAGAAAGATATTTAGAGTTTTTACAAAATGACCTCGTTCCAGCGCTTGCAGTAATTTTTCCTAACGATAATGACCTTGATATTCCTGATGACACCATATGGTTTCAGCAAGACGGTGCACCTCCGCACTATACGCGCCCTGTTCGAGATTTTCTGGACAATTGTTTTCCTAGGAGGTGGATCGGCAGACGAGGACCGATGGAATGGCCCTCGAGATCCCCGGATCTTACACCCCTGGACTATTTCTTATGGGGCTACTTAAAGTCCAAAGTGTACGTTAATAGACCACATAATTTAGAAGAACTTCAAAATTGTATTATAGATGAAATACACAAGAGTTACCCCAGAAATAATTCATAATGTGCAAGAAGAATTTCTACACAGACTTACGTATTGTCAAGAAGTCGGTGGGTGGCAATTCGAACACTTAGTTTAGGTAGAAAACTTAATGAATTGTATTTGTTTGACATAGGAATTGTTATTTTTTTAATGAATAAAATTTACGTTACATTTACATTCAATCGTCATTTACTCGAAAACTTTCCTATGTAAGATGGCAACATTTTAATACTATCGGATCGACAATGAAACGATCTTTCAGAATCAATAAAAAAAATAGGGCGTTGCTATTTAAAAAAAATGTTGATGACGTCATTACTCGAAAACAAATGACGGTTGAAAATCGCCTTTTATGCTAAAATATGTATTTTTTAAATTAAAAATCGACCTGTTCAAGGATTTTTCCCAAAAAAAAATTTGTTTTGTTTTTACTGAATTTATTTCATACTTTAGGCGCATACTGTATAAGTTTTCTTATAACTGACCTGAATATGCCCTTTACCAATCATGTTTCTATTTTTTCAGTGTGTTTGGTTCCATTTACGGTTGGGTTATTCTTCACTTGGTCCTCGCCATTCCTATTAAAAATCACAGATGACAAAAGCACTTACGACATATCCGAAGAAGACGGTTCATATTTCACAGTTATACCGCCCATTTCTATGATCCTAACAAGCATCTTCTTTTCAAATTTAAATGACAAAATTGGAAGGAAACCCACAATCCTCATAAATAGTGTACCGCATATTATGGGCTGGATTCTCACCGCTACGGCAACAAATGTTTGGATGTTCTACGCGTCCAGATTCTTCGCGGGAATAGGAGACGGACTGATGTTCGCATCTGTGCCGATGTACATCGGAGAAATATCCACGCCTAAAGTCAGAGGGGTATGGGGGAATGCCTTAACCTTTGCCATTTACCTGGGCCAATTCATAATCACCGTGACAGGTAGTTACTGCGACGTGAAACAGACTTCGTATATATGCATCTGCTTCCCGTTGATTCATTTCGTCCTCTTCTATTTTATGCCCGAATCGCCTTATTTTTACATCATGAAGGGGAGATTTCAAGAAGCCAGAGAATCACTGAGGTGGCTGAGAAAGAAAGATGACGTAGAGCAAGACTTTCTTTTATTAAAAGCCGACGTAGAGAGGCAAATGTCGGAATCTGGCACTTGGAAGGATTTACTTACCATTAAGAGCAACAGGAAAGCTTTGTTTGCTGGAATTTTTCTAAGAGCTTCGCAACAGCTCGGCGGTATAGCCACATTTGCTGTGTATACACAATACATTTTTGAAAAATCTGGAGGAAACTTAGATCCACAAGTCTCATCTATGATATTTATTGGTACGACTTGTGTCTTGAACCTTTTAGGTGCCTACACTTTGGACTTGTTTGGAAGAAGACTGTCGTATATAGTTTCTTTGGTATGTTCTGGTATAATATTACTTATAGAATCCATTTATTTCTATATAGAACAATTTGAAACCCAGATAGATATAAAGTTCCTAAACTGGATCCCAATAACGGGAATGATGGTTTTTGTACTATTCTACTCTATTGGTTTAGGAATTGTTCCCACATTGATGCTCGGTGAATTGTTTTCTACAAGTGTTAAAGCCAAGGGCTTAAGTGTTTTAATTGTGATATTTGGGATTCTTGTTTCTACAATTACCAAATTATTCCACGTACTCACTACCAATTTTGGTCTGTATTCGCCTTTCCTACTATTTTCTGTAAATTGTCTTCTGTCAACAATTTTAGCAATTTATTTGATACCGGAAACTAAAGGAAAAACTCTCGAACAAATCCAGCAATCTTTAAAAGGTTCCAAGAAAACAAATGAAAAGAATGGAGTGGAAACTAATCCAAACCCTTGAAGTTATTAATACCAATTTATATTTTCTTAACATAAAAAATTGAATGCAAACCGTACATTTAATATGTATTTACAGGAAAAAATATTAGTTATGTTTGGTACAAGACAGATGTGAGATGTGATCCTAGTTTAAAATGTATGTTATTTGGTTATTATAAACCGACTGCATAAAATATTACAAATGTTGGCATGCAAAACTGTATACTGTAAAAATATACAAAGTCTGAAATAAGTAATAAATGCAATGGTAAGGTCGTGATATAAGTACAAAAGTTATCCGTCTATTTGTAAAGAATGCTGTGATATTGTGATTCCAGTCGATTGTAGAAGAAAATATATTTTAGAAGTATAGAAGTTACTGGCTTCTTAATAATACCTGTTGCCGATAATATAATAACATATAAGTTTCTGATAAGATTATGTCCTAATAAAATATATTTTTAAGGCAAACGAATATTATTATGTACATTTTAATATAAATATGCAGTGGGAAGAATGAATCAGAACAACTACTTTAAACTACGAAAAAAATTGTCATTCCAGCCTCAGTCTATGTGTTTAAATATCTCGAAATATCTAGAACTACTTAAGCTACAAACGTACATATCTGGACCAAAAATGACTCTGGGCTTAAGGACCAAAGTCACTTCATATAAAAGGTCATTAGTCGCGGTGTCAAAGTTCAATGGCAGAGGTATTTCGATGTTTCCGAGATATTTGAGTGTAATTAGAGGTTTTTCGAAGAATTTTGACGCATTTCGATATAAAAACATTTCATAGTTTTTGAAGTACCTATTTCCACATATTTAGTGAATTTCGTTTTTAACGGTTTTCGTTGCAATTTTTATGTACATATTCTCAAGAGACTTATATTCTATAAAAATTTTTACAGACTTCATTCCGTTTCAATGTACTTTGATATATTTTCAAGCTGTTATGATGCTTCTAAAGGATTCTGAAGCTGACTCAACGAACTTTGAAACTGCCTTGACACTTGTTGATATGTCCTGAGACTGGTTTGATGTATTTTGTTTGTTTTTTCTTTCCCTGAAGTTATCCCAGAGTAAGAAATTTTCTCCAATTTATATGTATTTACCACTTGGCTCTCTCTGGACTCCAGGAAACCTCCACAAATCTCCGTAAGTCTACCTAAACTGCCGCAGATATTACATCATTGAGCTGTATTTATTATTTACTTATGTACCTATTTTTATGTACGCAAAACTTTATCGGTTAGTGTTATTAAATGACTCCAAACATAGGCTGATTGCATCTGAAATAAATTAATTTGAAACGTTGCACATTATATCTGAGTGACGGTCGTTTCATGTTAATTTCTTGATAAACGTAATTAAAATTATTTGAAGTGAGAATATCTCGCGTGAACAGTAGTAAATCAAATATTTTCTCTATCTCAATCAATTCAACATACAACTCTAATCCAATCTCCTGGTCCCATTGTAAGTCATTATATTTTTTTCAATATCTCCGCCAAATAAATATCGTCATTGTTGTCTCCATGTATCAATGGTAGTATTATTGTTTATACAAGGCGATTCACTTTTTATAATTAGGACTTTATCCATCGATAGATCTCATCAAAATAATGTCATTTTGAAGTATACAGTTTTTCTTCCAAAAGCTTCCTTTTAGAGATATAAAAAACATGAAAAAACATTTTTTTTGTGGTTTTTATTTAATTTTTTTTAAGCTATGAAAGACATTTGTTTTATATTTAATATAAAGTGCACGAATGAAAAGCTCTATCGATTTTATTAATTATTGTGAAAATAGATCAATCATAGGCGTCGGTAAGGGGCTCTGATAACCCCTACTTTTAATATAATTTTTACGCCACTGGAAATTTTTCAAAATGAATGTACTTTTTTACATTGCATTCTACAGCAAAAAGGTCTTCTATTATTTTTGGTTTTTGAGAAAAATGTCTTCTTATGGATTCATTACAATTAGGTAAACAGGGCAATGATTGAAGTATGTACGGCACTATTTAAATTTATGATTAAGAAGGGGTCGAGAATATATCAGTTATGTGTTAATATTTTAAAGTGACATCTAAAACTATCTTTTTTTATTTTATTACTTAAAGAAACTGTTATAGGTGACACAGATTTTTTGAAAAAAAATTTCATGCTCCTTGAGGGTGATTCTTAGAATAACAATTGTTTATACGTATTTTGACATATCTCCTCAGTCATTGATTTTACATTGCATTATTAAATTGCTATTTCTGTTTGTTTCTGAATATTAAAAATTTTATTCTATATCACTTTGTTTGAAAAACAGTTTCACATGTAATGAATCCATAAAAAGCCATTTTTCTCAAAAACCAAACATTTCATTTAAAAATAGTAAGAGACCTTTTTGTTGTAGAATAAACCGCAATGTAAAAAAAATACATTCATTTTGAAAAATTTCCAGTGGTGTAGAAATTATATAAAAAATAGGGGTAAGGAGCCCCTTACGGACGCCTATGATTGATCTATTTTCACAATAATTTATAAAATTTCGTAAACTTCATACTAAATATAAAACAAATGGCTTTCATAGTTTAAGAAAAAATAAATAAAAACCAAAAAAAAAATTCTAAAAGGAAGCCTTTGAAAGAAAAAGTGTATACTTCAAAATAACATTATTTTGACGAGATCTATCGATGGTTAAAGTCCTAATCATAAAAAGTGAATAACCGTTATCGTATACTCAAAGGTAATATTTTACTCAAAAATAATATTTTATAGTTAGATACTGTCCACAAGACACGTTTTACCATCCCTTCGTATCATACCAGGTGTGAAACCAATTAACAATAGCAACGTTTTGAGAGCAATACATTATTTTACATCGACCATCGTAGGCGTTCTGAACAAGTTAGGATTTTGATTAAACTTAATTTGTTCATGGTTGTTTTTTTATTTTGGATTAATTTAATATGTCAACAGAATATGGTGACTTTAAAATAACACGTCGCTAAGCCATACAAAAACAATTTGTTTTACTAAATTATTTCCATCATCGTTTTCTAAGAGTTTATAAAGATGACGACTGGCAGCGCTGATATTGCTCTGATACAACTTACCACGATAATTCCGAGTGGTCCGGTTTACCTCGCCCACTAGCGTAAAAATTATACTGCAGCTGATCCCCTCACTTAAAGTTATACCCTGTATAAACATTTTTATTTACGCATGTCGTAAACTTTGTGGGCACCTTGTACATTTTTTAATTATTTTTCCTTCTATATTTTTAAAATCTTTGAAAACATTGTCTTTCACCGTTTTGTAAGTTGCATATTTTTAGTTTTTCGTGTTTTTTATTTCTACAATCTTTCTAATGCTATGATAATTTATTTTTTTTTTTTCATTTTTTCAGACTTTGCATTTTAGAAGTTTTTAATTTTTTAGTATTTCTGATTTTTTATAATTATTTTCTATCCTATTGCGGCTATTATATTAATTTTACGTTTGTCGGGAAAGAAGAATACTGCCAACGATTAATTCGACACGATTAGCGCCAGAAATTATTAAACAATTTATGGGCGATCCGTCAGTGCCCTATTTCACTACGGATTAACCAAACGGCTATTTGTCGACCATTTGTGCACTGCAAATCTTGCATTATATACGGCTAATCTATAAAGCAATAAACGTTTAGTATTGGATTGTTATTAAATTATAAATTTATTTTACGGTTCCGAGTAAACGCTTTTAATGGCCATTTATGGTAAATTATTGCCCTTTATGTAAAATTTACTTATACGTCCGGGAAAGGGTCGGGCTGTTAAGGCAGACAAAGGGTTTTTATTCGAATGTATGATTCCGCATTTATCTTCGAATTTGTATTTCCGTCACATAAGCACAGATTAATAAATATACGGCCCGACGGTGCAGGTGCCTTTTTGCAAGGATTAGGCATTTAATTGACGAGGGACAACGCTCGACTGTGTACAGGGTATCTCAAAAGAGCCTTCGCAAACTTGAAGACAACAGTTGAAATGGAAATAATTGAGATACGAAAACTCAATTGGCAGAATTTTTTATGCAAATAGGATATTGTTTTTATAATGCGTACCGACTTCCCACAATAATACGAAGTAACATTTTTGGAACCACTGACTCCATCAATAATTCAATTGGCGGCCTATTTAACAAATTAATTTTAATTAGGATGTAATTAAATCTGGTTTGGTTGCTAATGTATGAGATGGTTGATTGGCTGTTGCTAAATGTTTTATTTAAATCCAGTTTTAAAACTTCTTTGATAAATCGATTCAAATTCTATGTACCATGTGATTAAAGTTCTAAAAACCATTCTACTATGAAAATAAAAAACAAAATTCGTTCAATGTCAATTTCTTATTCATTAAATCATTGTTACACACTGAAAAAATTAGTATTTGGATCAAATGAGCAGATAGTTTTATATGGAATTATTTTCCGTAAATGTTATTTTATTCTATTCGAATGTATATACTTTCGTCAAACTACAGTTTTGAAATTTATTATCTCGGACTTAACTACAATATCTCTTAAAACATACGTGTTTCAAAATTTAGTATTAATGTAGGAATTATTCAAGACAAATGTAGTATATTATAATCAAACTTGTGTTTTCTTGATAGAAAATTGTAGCAGGTCACAGAATGGCGTAGGTGGGAAATAGCACGATAGATGGAGCCACTTACGGTATGTGTATACATACATTATATCTTTGTGAGTAACGACAATAAAGCAGCTGGATCGATCTAAAGACATATTGATGAGGACTATCAATAAGTCCCAAACCGACCTATGTCTGGTTGGTTAAACTTACAAACGATCCTAGTTATTGTACTAGGTGTTTTGTTAGTTTGAAACAAAACATTTTTTATTACTGAGAAATATTTATATCCAAATTTATTCTTAAAATAAGTATATAAAATCATTTGACCAAAACTATTCAATTTTATATTAAACAACAATGCGAAACATGTTTCTATAAAATCTATGTAGATCATAAAATTAAAAATAGAATTCGTTTAACCGTAAGTATCAAATATTTATTTTTAAATGCTGCCTATGTAAGAAATTATATTCCTGGGTAGAAAGTACAGTGTTATTCCAGCTTTTACAATTGTACTAGATTTATTACATTTGAGAAAATCCTATTACCCTATTACTAAGTTGTCAAAATCTATTACACTATTAGGCCTTTTTTCGCAACTGAATATTGGTGAATATCTGACTTGTAGTTACTATTTCTATCTCTTTTGATCTTAGTTGTCATATGGACTTCACTCGCAAAAAAAGCCTATTGAATTTTTAGCTCGACAGTGAGGAAATTCTGGAGATGAAAAACCACAGAATCTTTATAAATTTATTTCAACCAAAGAAAGCAAAAATACATATTATAGTTCCCTAGAAGAA